AATCCTTAAAATCTTTAAAAATCATAAATAGGACATATTGTATCACGAATTTCTTTAAATTGTACGTTTCAGCTGACTTGCTGACAATTTTAATGGAGGAAGCAGAGTTTAATTCAATCTAGTAAAAGTTAGTTACACTTACTGAAAGTGTTTGATCAGATTGTAATAAAATTACTCGGTTTTAAACGGCAGTTTCATCTCTGGAAGGTTTTGTTTGTTTATTTTGAATTTCGCGCAAAGCTACACGATGGCTATCTGCGCTAGACGTCCCTAATTTAGCAGTGTAAGACTAGCGGGAAGACAGCTAGTCATCACCACCCACCGCCAACTCCTGGGCTACTCTTTTGCTAACGAATAGTGGATTGACCCGGTTTTTAGCGTTGTAATTCCGCAGACACTTACCATCACCAAGGGATATTAGACTATTTCCCATTTGTCGCCCCCTAGTGGCACAGCGGTATTTATGGGGTTCGATTCTCCGTAGTGAACAGAGCGCAGACTGTCTATTATTTGTTTTAGTAAGGTTCATATAATTTTATTTTAAAAATTAAGGTTTGATCAAATTTACTTCAGTCATTAATGTCATTTCTCTACAAGAACATTTAATGTATCTACCGTATACTTACCTTACATCGTAAGCAACTGATTGAAAATTATATTAGTTTAGTAGCACGTGAGACAATGTATTTGTTACATTGGGGTTGAAAATAAACTTAGTCCTGGTTGGAGTAGACCTTATCTACCGCGATAGTGAGGATGCTCTTAAAAACTGTAGTCATAATAGAACAACCTTATCAGAAAGATGCTTTTAAGGCATTTATGTCTTAACAACTCAACACACATTCCTGTCGGTCGGTTTGATGCTTCTGAAAGTACTAAGCCTAAACGAAAAAACAAAACAAAAAATAGCTTAGCTTCAACACTTAATAAACTTATAATCCTGCAAGATGGCCGTTATCTTGTAAAAGGTGTTTCGAAAGTGAAGAGCCAGCGAGAATAAAATAAGTGATTAATACATTATGATATACGTGCTTGAGGCCTAAACATTATTCACCGTAATAGTTAATTTTAATGACCGTTACTAAATTAGCGAAGACTATCAATTGTTCCTCGTTTTTGACATACCCTGTATATTCAATTATGATTGTTATATGAACTCTTTCTTAAGCATGATATGTTTTGTATAATATGTGGGTCCCGAAAGTTTGTTTGTTTTGAATTTCGCGCAAAGCTACACGAGTGCTATCTGGGCTAGCCGTCCCTAATTTAGCAGTGAAAGACTAGAGGGAAGGCAGTTAGTTATCACCACCCACCGCCAACTCTTGGGCTACTCATTTACCTACGAATAGGGGGATTGACCGTCATATTATAACGTTCCCACGGCTGAAAGGGCAAGCATGTTTGGTGGGACGGAGATTCGAACCAGCGACCCTCAGATTGCGAGTCAAGCGCCCTAACCATCTGGCCATGCCGGGTCAGACCTCAAACGAAATATTAATTATAAGCTAAAAACAGAAATGAATACTGTAGGAGGAAACTAACCAAGTGTTACTTCGTTAATTAAAATCACAAAGACGAGATCATTCGTCTATATGACACAACAGTTACCACACGCTGTATGGTACCGTTCGCTTCATCAAAATTTTTAAAGCTGAGACATTCTTTACAATATTTTCTTAATGAACATTCTCCAACCCCAAAAGGGATCGCTAGGCACTGGCACACGGGGCTCGTGCCCCGAATCCCCAGTTGGTGTCTTGAAAAACTAGAATAGAAAATCATGATCGATATCATACTGAAACGTCGAAACTTTTCGTGCCCATGGGCTCGAGCTCAAAATCTTTTAAGCACCCAGCGACGCCTCTGTTTAACGTTATGATCCATAACGCAAATAATGAAATCTAAAAACATGTTTAGCCACATTCCAAGTCTCTAAGAAGCAGCTGCTTCTGTTGGAAAAAAAAATGAAATATGTTCCATATTGTTATCATTTATTTAAATATTAATGAGCAAAAATCTTTCTCTAGAACGTAGACGTCAAGAAATAAATTTGCCTGATAATAATTGCATTGCAAATCAAAAAATAATTATTTCAATCCGTATGTCTACAAATAATTTAAATCCGCAGAAAGATAATCAACCGTCTTAATTTAGTCCAAACAAAAATACTAAAATTAGGAACTCGGAGGAGGTTTGTAGAATAGATTTTACATGCGCAAAGAACAACGAAAAATTCACTAAATTTTGCGTCCAAAATCAAAACAGTTTTGTTTAAATAAAATACACGTGAATAAATAAGTAAATTGATAAATGGGTCCTAAAATCATTGGACTTGAAAGAAATGTTGAAATCTTGCGTAAAAATGTGAATATAAGTTCTTTATTTCCAGAATATTCTTCCCTGAAGTGCCCCACTTGATATAATATGTTTTTGTTCACTTTCCTGATCATTTGCTTCCCGAACAGTCAAATACTTTTTGAACTGGCCGACAGCATCCACCGCCAACTCTTGAGCTACTTTTTAACCAACGAAAAGTTGAATTGGCAGTCATATTATAACGCCCCCACGGGCTGAAGGGGCGAGTATGTTCAGCACCAGTTTCGATTCTATCCCGCTTATCTCAGGTTGCTATTCCAGCGCTCTAACGTGTATATATATATATACACACACACACATATATAACGTAAGTACTTTGTAGGTATGTACTAAAATATTATCGTTTAAACTTTTCGCGCCTTCTCTTGACAGTAAAATGAAAGAAAGATAACATACACGTGGGACAAATTTCTATAATAACTAAACAATTTTATCTTATTTTGTAGCCCCCAGTGGCACAGCGGTTTGTCTGCGGGCTTATACCGCTAGAAATTGGGTTTCGATACCCGTGGTGGACAGGGCACAGATAGCCCTTCGTGCTTAATAACAAATAAACTACAACTCATTTTGTTTCTCATAATAAAACTGTCATGCTTCTATGTTTTTCTTTTTATAATGTACAGAATTCTCTTTAAAAATCTGTATAAAAGGATCAGTTAAAAATGCATAAGAGATCGAATATTAATAAAACTAGATGTTGTATAAGGTGCTTGATGTCCTTCGTGCACGACAGAGAAAAGTTTGTACAGGTTCCTTAAAAAACGAAGTAAATATAAATAATTCAATCAAATCTTAAAGCTATACTATTTTGCTGGATTCCTAACATCTGTTCTTATGTGCATTTTCAAAGAATGTGTTTATGCCTTTTTTGAAATACTTCCGTTTCTTTAGATCCCTGCAAAGAATCTGTAGATTACAATGTATAAACTATAAAACAAAAAAAGTATTTAAAAAGCTTCATTCAGAGGAGAGAAAAATTGGGTCTACGACGTGGCCTGCCCATTTTCCTAGAAATGTAATATAATGTTGGATTCCCGCTGTCTGGGGCATATCTATACGCGACGAAATGTAACATAATGTTGCATTCCCGCTGTCTGGAGCATATTTGTACTCTATGAAGTTTAATGTTGGAATTTCGTTGTCTGGGGTATATTTGTACCGATGAAATGTAATATAATGTTGGATTCTCGCTGTCTGGGGCATATTTGTACTCTATGAAGTTTAATGTTGGAATTCCGTTGTCTGGGGTATATTTGTACCGATGAAATGTAATATAATGTTGGATTCTCGCTGTCTGGGGCATATTTGTACCGATGAAATGTAATATAGTGTTGGATTCTCGATGTCTGTGGCATATCTGTACCGATAAAATGTAATATAATGTTGGATTCTCTCTGTCTGGGGCATATTTGTACCGATAAAATGTAATATAATATTGGATTCCTGGTTTTTGAAAGTAACTGTTGATGGTAAACTTCTTATTGTAAATATAGTGGCTGATTTATAAGCCATATCCACTCGCTGTACTGTGGACGTAACAGTAAATGTTATGTCTAGAGATATTTCTGTGTAAAGCAGTAAAATACTGTATTAGCAAGACATATCCACTCGCTGTACTGTGAACTTAACAGTAAATGTTATGTCTAGAGATATTTCTGTGTAAAGCAGTAAAATATTGTATTAACAAGACATATCCACTCGCTGTACTGTGAACTTAACAGTAAATGTTATGTCTAGAGATATTTCTGTGTAAAGCAGTAAAATATTGTATTAACAAGACATATCCACTCGCTGTACTGTGAACTTAACAGTAAATGTTAAGTCTAGAGATATTTCTGTGTAAAGCAGTAAAATATTGTAAAGAAGAAATACATGCAGGGATTAGTTCTGAATTTTTATTGTATTGTTTCAAAAGGAGTAACGAGTATTTTTTTGGCAAGAATATCGTAATTTTTTTTCACAAAGCAAGCTATGCTAAAGATAATTATCAATCGTAACCATAGAAATGTAATGAACTTCTACAAAGTACGAACAAAGCTTACGTTTAAAAGAAAGTTTTAGGCAATACATTGACATACTGTCTTCTGCTTTCAGACCTGATAAATAACTCAGCAGAGTCCAAAACGTTGTCTTTAAAACGATATAGAAGACAGGAGCAGTCCACAAAAAGCTATTCAATAAGAACAAAGCTATTTTTTATGAATACCGATGTTTTAGATACACATACTAACTTAGCGGTAACTTAGAACCACAATATTCTTCAACACAGGACATCCGATTATCTTTCATCTCTAGCTTTGTGTTGTATAATTTACAATTTATTGTTAGAATATAGTTTCAGTGGAAATAATATTAACTTGAAAAATCATGCCATGTTTTTTTTCCTTTTTAATCGTAGTAAAGATTGTGCTAAAATATTGATTGCTTATGACATCATAAGGTTTTATATGCACAACATGAAGTTCCATTACTCCGCAACGAGTTCAAAGTGCCGGTTGTCTTTAAAGGTTGAATGATAGAAATAAGCATCGTTGCTATAGTAACGACTTATACTCGCACGATGTCACAAACACCGCGAATCTTCGTGTGTGTGTGTTTATAGCTGGAAGTCAGTCGATATAAGTAGACCAGAGGTTGAAGTTATGCCGTCAGTTGCCCGTGGACGTGAGTAGCGTGAGCAGAATTCAGCCTCCGTAAGCATTGATAACTGAATTGTTTTGTTTTCCGCAAAACATTCTTAATGCATTCTAGCTTATTGTTATGTAATTGTTTATTTATTTACAAAACATTTGATTTTAGTATATTATATATTATGTCGATATCATTTCTGGTAAGTTAGAATGTGATCCAAGAAAATATACTTTAGTTTTCTTTTTAAGTGGATTATAGTATATTAGATGTGATATCGGTACCATTTCTGGTAAGTTAGAATGTGATCCAAGAAAATATACTTTAGTTTTCTTTTTAAGTGGATTATAGTATATTAGATGTGATATCGGTATCATTTCTGGTAAGTTAGAATGTGATCCAAGAAAATATACTTTAGTTTTCTTTTTAAGTGGATTTTAGTATATTATATATGATGTCGATATCATTTCTGGTAATTTAGTATGTGATCCAAGAGAATATACTTTAGTTTTCTTTTTAAGTGGATTATAGTATATTAGATGTGATATCGGTATCATTTCTGGTAAGATTGGGATGTAAGAAAATATATTACATTTTTCAAATTTGATTTTAATATCTTAGATGTGATATCAGTATTATTTATTGTAAGTTGGATTTGGATATAAGAGCATATCTTTAACTGTTCTATGTAGTAAATTTAGGAATCTAGACGCACTTATACCTCAGTTATATGTAGGTATCCTTAGTCTTTTTTTTAATTTGGACATCTTTTGTATATATAATTTCCTTAGTGATTGATAATTCCGTTACATTTCTTACAAACCGCTGGCTTATTGTGCAATGTAATGGGTGACGTTATCAGATAAATGACAGTTGACACACTGAACTAACGCGATTGAGTTCTTTCATACCGAGACTATGTACATCTTTGGCCCTTGCTAAAACCTTAAAATAACTTGAATGAACGACTAAATCACACTCACCTGTTCCAATACACTCAATTTATTTGGTGATCATAAGTTTGCATGTTCTTTCTTTCATCTTGACAGTTTCTTTATCGTAGAACCGATGTAACCTTGTTAATAAAAAGGACGCCCTAGGTGAGTGTGACGTTGTCGTCCGTTCATATTATTTTAAGCTTCTAGCAAGAGCCAATGACGAACATAGCCTCCGTATAAAAGAGAGCTAACCCATTCACAAACTGAAGCCAGAACTCAATCGTTTTAGTTGAGCTTGTAAACAGTTACCTACCTTATAGGTTCAAAGAAAACGGCCGTCTATTTGTAACTTTAGTGATGGGTAACAGATTCCCTTTTCATACAAGTGTTAGCTGAAGGAGGAAGAAGGTTTTCAGTGAAAGTTGTGTTATGATCAGAACTCTTCCTGACGTAGACTTCCTTATGGTAAGTTTCTAGCGATCGGATACCAATCGTTGTCTTGGTTAGGAGCCCTACACTCGGCTCGCGTCTTGGTTAGGAGCCCTACACTCGGCTCGCGTCTCATCTCATAGCATAACACATTTACCTTTCTAACAAGAAGACTCAGGTTCGAATCTCGGTTTTTGCCATCACATAAAATCCTTCTCAGATCTACCTTAAAGGAAGCAGCAAACTACCGGCCGGAAATGTGGCAAAAATAATTAACAACTAAATGATTATTCGACTTGCGTGGCCGTATACGCCATGAAAACGATAAACAGTGCATTTTTTGACAGGTAACCACTTCATAATAATACATAACACTTCTATTTGTTTTAATATAAGTGCCATGTGTTGGAAGCACTTGGACGAGTTTTTCCCGGTCGTATTCGTCAAGCAAAAAAAAAATAAAAATAAATAAAACGATGAGTTTTGATTGTTTTCCACTGAACTAAGTTTCACATCCGGCTGGTTCCTGAGTGGACTTTACCCGCTGATCACCAGTCAATTTCACTCACCATCGGAAAAACACTCAATATGGAAAAAATTAATTTGTCAAAAAATTCGTAAGATATCATTTATTTCCTTTCAGATCCCAGACGGGTTAGTAATTTTCCAGGTGGGGACTTTTGCTGTAAATCCCCCGACAAAGAAAGCATAAAATATATTAAAGAGACTGTTTAATCATCACTGCATTTCAAAACTTAAGAGGTTGACAAAAAAAATAAAAAAATAAAACGTGTCTTTCTAATGAGAATAGTGCGTGTTTTCACTATGGGTTCCAGACAGATGAGTCAAGGGTGTTGATAAAGAGATCGTGTCTTGCTCTTTTTGAGAAATTAATAGTAGTACCAACAATTCTTAGTATAGTGTGTGAAGTTACTGCACTCTTATCAGAAATAGGTGGAGAAAGTGTAACGTATTT